GTTTTTCCGAAAAATTTACACAGAAATGAGTTCTTAAATGAGCATGAAAGGTGTTGAGCCAAAAAACAAAAATTTGATTAAAATTTACACTCCTGCGGAAAAATGAAAGTTTCTTCACTTTGATTATTTTGACGAGAGCCTGATTCCACCACGCTGCCTCACATATACACATGGGAAGATCAGTAGGACAAATGGGCTAAATTGCACAAAGTCACAAAAACGAAAACATGAAATGTCTAAAGAAACAAAAACAGTCTCCCTCTTTTACAAAATTAAGAACGGTGAAGACAACTTTGTTTGTTTGTTTGAGTAAAGAGAAGCACATTAACACAATAATGGTAATTTAGTGCTGGACAGACCAAAAACCCCAGAGGGAAAGTGAAGAAGTAAGACCTACCAGTGGCGCCCTCCAACCATCTAAGGGACACAATCTAGACAGTCTAGGAGGCGGGCTTCCACCCTCCACAAACCTCACCGAGAGGGAAACAATCTAGACAGTTTAGGAGGCGGGCTTCCATCCTGCCTGTCAGGGCCACAAACCTCACAGAGAGGGATACAACGTTCCAGAAGAAAAGCCGAGATACCTGTTACTCTATAAAAATTCTCCCCATACATACGGGAATCGAACTTAGGTCTTACAGTGTGCTATGGCAAAGTGCCTAAACGATACACGACAAATGCTGCCCGCTACTGATAACTTGCGCGCTCATATGACCTTATGCAGTTGCGAGCGCCGTAGAAACTCTAACTAAAAAAAAACCCCCAAAAAACCCTGATCACTTGACACATCTTTGTCAATGTTCTATGACCTTACGGTGACACAGACAAGCAAACAAAAAAAGTTTCTCTTGATTTTCAAAATTCGAGAATCAAGGCCACACCCTGACTACACTTTTTTTGTTTACCACTACAGTCTAGTTGTTTTTTTTCATTCTAGTAAGAATTTTACATTTGCAACGCAAATGGATCATGTAAGTGTGGAAGACTAGGGGGTGTAACATATAGGGGTGTTACTATGTTACACCCGTAGAAGAACATTTATATTTGTGGTTAGTTTATTTTAATAAGAGATTTACGGTACTTGCAACACAGTTAGGTCTTGTGAATGCTCAAGTTTAGAAATGTAACAATAAAGAAAAAGAAGGAAAGATAAGACACGGATGACAGATGTTTTATGGATAAGGAGCAAACCACAACAGAACCCCTGCCAACCACCTGCTTTGCCTTATCACTGAGTAAGTACATAAAATGTAACATCTCCATAAACAAAGTAATGGCATTAACATGGCACAAATACCAGAAAAACTGTTAAAATGTTTTTGTCTTCAGTCCACTATATTTCCTTACTTAAGTGAAGCGTTGTAAATGATGAAAAAAAAAAAATTGACAAAAAACTCAAAATGTAGAACACGATATAAATTTAACAAAGATAGGCTACATTGACCATATAAAGCTAAATTGCATTTAAGGGGACATTGCACATATATATGCAGATTAAAAAACAAACTGAACACACAAGGACGGTTGTAAAGGCATTTGCATTGATAAGTTATGGGTCTTCTGCAAGAGACAGAGAGAGAGAGATATATCTCCCACACATGAAGATTATCTTTATTAAAACCCAAAAATTTTTCATCAAAATCAAAACACACAGACCTAGTACTTTTAATCACACTTATGCATCTTATTATTTTTTTCTCAGAGCTCTTTAAGTACATTAAATTCTTTCCGTAGCTCAATCGTGAATCGTCTTTCATGGTCAACGCAAAGGTTACCCACTGACAATGGCACTGTAAATCCTCCTTAGTGTGCAGTACATGATGTCTCTCACAAACAAACACATTTTGGATTAAAATATGAAATGATGGCCTTTCGCGTCTCGACAGACGATCTTGAAGAATGCACAATGATACAGCTTTGTGTGGGCGGCAGACATAGAGGGAATAGATTGCCCAAGTACAACATGTACTTGACTCCCTTGATAATATATGGTCGCTTTTAAGGACAAGTGGGCTAACCCAGAATTGGGGGGTTTCCAGAAATCTTGACCTACACCAAAAGTGGGCATTGCCCTACCTACGGGAGAAGTTTGGTTTCATTGGTGTGTATATTTGTTTGGTTATAGGGAAAACTCAACTTGACTTTCAAAGAAACTGGGCAAAAACTTTACCTTCGATTTTCTCATAACAGAATTTGTCGGGATAGCCCCCTTGTGCTTAAAAGCGGCCATATGCTCCAAAGGAGAGACATCGTTAGTATGCTTGGAATCAAACGCGTAAGGGTGTGTCAGAAAAAAAAAGACAAGTGAAATAAAATTTTAAAAAAAAACCCCAACAAAAAAAGCAATATAAAATAAGCTGAGACAAAAAATCTATTTGATTGTACAACGATCTCAGATCATCACAACCGCTTGCAAAGTTCTACGCTGTTGTACTTTGAAAGCGATAAAACAACAATGCCATTTTACGAGAAATGAGACAGACAGATCTCTACACCTGGATACACATTTACAAATAGAAAAAAATCGTCATGTGTACTCCAATCATTATCACGACAGAAAATAATAACTGGAACATTCTTTTCTCCGACATTTCTTGGGGTCTTCTATGAGAGAAACAGTAGACCAGGCTAAGACGTATTAAAATCAAACGTAAAAAAGCAACAAAAAAAAAGCATACCCGTCTATCACGACTCTCATCCTTCTCCATCCATTTTGAAAACCTTTTTATCTTCTTAGTAGGATGAAAATGCAAGAGAAGTTGGCACATTTTTACAATATATACGAATCAGATTTTAGTCTAACAAACTCACTGCCACACACACACACATGCAAACTTTCTGCAGAGATATCACTGGTATTTTGTGAAAAGAACTTAAAAATTTGCAAAGTTGTCCTTGCAAAAGAAAAAGACAAAATACAGACACTTGGATTTCACTGATATAACAGACCCCCCCCCCCCTCCTCCTGAAAAACAGTACCCTTGCTTTACTGTTTCCTTTACTTTCCCCTGAGAGCCTGGATCCCGCAACGCACTTTCATACAAGCTCCCCCTTCCGTCAACTTTTAGATTTACAGAACGACATACAGGTAACGGTGGCACATGCTGGGATCCACAAGGCGTAACTCTCAACAAAGCATTGATGTGTTTTAGTTTTAGTAAGAGTCTTTTACACCATTTGCAACACAATTAGGTCATATAAGTGCTGAAGATTAGAGGTGTAGCGAGAGCACAATATACACACACAAAAAAAGAGGAGAAATAAGGACGATAGATGTTTGATAGGATAGAAGGAGCAAACCACACTAGAGCACCTGCCAATCACCCACAGATCAATGTGTGATGAATATGACAAGACATTTATGGCATACTTCTAAGTATGGGGGATAAAAAGGTAAAATACTTGCAAAGACACATGGCTCATACCAAACTACATTTAGTTGTGCTTTTAGGGGTCAGGCTACCGGACTCGTTATCGAGAGGATGCGGGCTTGAGGGTTCGATCCGCGGGTCCGACGTTGTGTCCTTGGGAAAGGCACTTTACACCAATTTTCCTCACTTCACCCATGTGGGAATGGGTACCTGGCCATAGACAGCGAAAGATCTTGTCAGTATGTTAGTGTTTTAGCACCCATAAAAGGCAGCTTCCACTATTATTATACCACCCAGGAAGTTGAGTTTATTTCTGAATGCTCTCAAGTCTGCTGGGGTAACAGTATAGATTTCAAAGCGCATAGAGCTTGCGGTTGAGAGGGGATTTGCGCTATACAAATGCTATTTATTATTGCTTTTAATAACATCTTTCTATGTTATCAAGCATCCATAAACCGCAATTCCACAAACCAAAGATGAACATATTGGAACCTACTTCTTATAAAATCATACATGTAGTTTTAAAATTTAAAAAAAAGGTATTCCAAGTAAAATCATGAGCAGAGGGCCTTGGGACTGACTGAAGTTTCATGAAAGCTCTCCCTGGTTGTTCAACGCGCAGTGAGTGAGGGCAACCAAAGACAGGAGTCAGCTTCTCATCTTACTGGAATCGAACCCAAGTCTTTTGCATGGCCCTGCAACGCACCTAATCACTACACCACAAACTTTCACAAATGAGTTCAACAAAAGTACATTATTATAATATCATATTGTCTAAAAACAACGAGAAGAGTATCACAAAGAGTGCGGGGCAGAAAGATGGAGCACAGAAAAAAATACAGAGAAATACGAACAAAAGGAAAGAAAATAGAATTTAAAGACTTGTTACCAAGGGCCATACAGGCCGAAGTACAACAAAAGACCCTTAACGCCTTGCCCCCACGGGACGACGATCGGCGCTGGTGTGATTACGGAGAAATACGAACAAAAGGAAAGAAAATAGAATTTAAAGACTTATTACCAAGGACCATACAGGCCGAAGTACAACAAGAGACCCTTAACACTTTGCCCCCACGGGATGCCGATCGGCGCTGGTGTGATATAGCGTGTACCGCACCTGTATCCTGGTCCGTGGGGGTAAGTGCTGCGTGTGCTCTGCGCGCTGCATGGGTGGATAGTGTTAAAAATAAAATGTTCCACAACATAAGTCTGGGGCAGCGTGGTGGAATCAGGCGCTCGTCAGTTTTGGGCCATGTAGAGCTACTGGTATCTTCATCTTAAAGCTTGTTCACCTGTCTTTATTTGGATGAAACAAATATCCATTTATCTTGAATACAAGTCGAGATATTTGCGAATGAAGGAGGTGGGGGTCACCTGTTTTCAGAGGTAAAATAAGTGAGAAAATGGCCGCCAAATATTAGTTATTTCCTTAGCTCAAGAGTCCGTGGTAACTGAAGATTTGCATTTTTTATGCCTTTAATCACTTTTTAAAAAAATCCACACAGAAATGAGTTCTTTACTGGGCATGAAAGGTGTTAGCCAAAAAACAAAAATTTGATAAAACTTCACAAAGCTGCGGAAAAATGCAAGTTTCTTCACTTTGATTATTTTGATGAGAATGAGAGCCTGATTCCACCACGCTGCCTCACAAATGAAAAATTTGTAAGCTGGAACACAGTTTCTTTGTCCTCTCCACATCGACACAATTGCAAATTAGAAACAATTTAAATCAGATTCTTTGACATGTAAAAATATAAGAGGATTACAGCTCGCACTGATGACTTATCCAGTCATTTAAAACTTTAATAAGCAGCACTAAAATTGTACATAAAAACAGACAAGCCAGCAAAGCACAGATGCATCTTGTCTATCACAGATCCTCACAACTCCTCCCAGACCTGAGACCACAGCAGGAAGACACCCATCTCACCAGCCACAAACAAGAACAAAAAACCCCAAAAAACCCAACAATTTATTTTAAAAGATAATTCTGAATAAAAATTAAAGACCTTCTCGTCACCTTTGATTGTGCTCTTTTTTCGCTGTAGCTTTTGTCAAAGACCAAGAAGTACCAAGCCACACCTGTTCAGTTTTAGTTTAAAAGTTTTAAAGCACTAGTAACACTATAAGGTTATATAAGTGTCGAAGATTAGAGGTGATACTATTTAGAGTAACATACAAAAAAAAAAAGAGGAGGAGAAATGAGGCAGATCAGATAGATGATTGATCGGAACGAAGAAGCAAACCAAACTAGAGCGGCTGCCAACCACCCACCCATCCATCCACAAAATGTGGTCACTGAGCACACAAGTTCAAGACAAACTAGCAAGGTTTGACTACATGACAATAAAAAAGACTTGGGTAAAGACATACCAGTGATGTCTGTAATATAATATGCTTACCCAAAATTTTCGTACTTTATAAATGATCTCATTGCGTAGAAATGAAATCAAAGCCTTCACACGCCAGACTTTGAAGAGTCTTGCACTACACAAAAGAGCTACGTACAATTATACCCGCACATTCTGGTCCTGCTTCGACTGCCATTCAAATATCCATTTTTTTCCCCTTTTGACTTCACAAATGACGAAGTTCTGTTTTAAAAATCCCTGGTGCTATGAGTATGAGTATAAAAAAACGTGACATTTCACTCAAAGTAAAAATAAAAATAAAAAGACAAGGGAGCTGTATCGATTGCAACATTTAAAAAATCATAATTCATCTGAAAAATCCATCTGAAAAATCGCTTCAGCAATTTTTTAAAAAGACACTCTCCACATAAACCTTAAAGGCAAAATACATCAAAAGATACCAAAGAGCAGTAACAATGGCAGTAACACATACATTGACCAAGCACAACTGATCAGTAGCTGACTGTGGAAACTGGCATTTCAAAGTCTTTGTCACACGTATTCCTAATTCTTTGCCATATCGACAGACCGAAGGGCTAGAACCCAAATGGCCGCTGGATCGGAAAAGTAAAGTAAAGTGAAGTAAGTCACACATATAATATTCATTCTCCAAAACTTTAAAAAGTAAAATAGACATAATATTGCCAGCCCTGTGTACAGATAAGCAACGGAGATGATAATAAAACTGTTCCTTCCTTATTAAATGATCCTGATCAAAATCAAGCTATGAACTAACAATTCCCCAAAATTAAAAAAGTGAATGCAAAAAAAAAGTTGCCATCAGAAAAAAGTACTACAAAATAAACACAAAAATCCCATAAAAAACTTCATCAAATCGCCACCTCAGAGCTTTCTTGTCCTATCTCCATTTTTAACAACAGTGAAAACAGTTCATAACAAAGAGTAAGCTTTATAACGAAGAGTGAGCTTAAGAAGAAGTCACATTTTCAAGGTTTAAAAATCGGAGGACAAGAAAATTGATATCAGGTACCATCTTAAATTATGTAACTGCAATTAGAAACATAGGCCAAGATAAAAGTTAAAGATGTTTTTTGAGTAGCAACACACATACACTCGTATTTCTCATAAAAACCTAGCATCGGGCTATTTATAAAATAAGTCAAAAGTCAGAGGTTTGCACATACTACCATTCACCTGTCAGTAATATGCCTTAGAATACTTAAAACTTAGATCATTTCAAGAAGAAGTGGAGATTAAAAAATTACAAGCATTTCATTACAGTATCCATGAGCAAATCAACAAACAATAATTAAATGCCACGGAGAAAACGGAAACAGAAACATCCACAAAGAATCTTCCGAGTCAAAAACACTCAGAGCTAAAAATAGGTCAGAATCACGGTAATGTAATGCTGTTTTCCTTGTATCACACAAGTTTGATTACAATGCACCCACTTTTGTTTCTCGAGAGGTAAGAATCTATTCACACCTTGGTTATGATTATATATGACGACTCCTGGGCATCTTTTCCCCCCTAATCCAAATAACATACTGACTGAAAGCAAGAGACAAAGCAGATGAATAATGAGGTAGAAAGCTTGCCCTTGATATCGTGAACCGACTCCACGAACAATGAAATAGATAGAGAGAACGGGTATAATTTTTCTACGACTTTCAGTCCCCAGTTGGGAATGCCATATATAGCACAACTGGCATTTTAACAATTTATACACGTACGTAAAAATAATCACCTTGTTTGGTAAAAACAAATCTCCTTCTACACAAAGTCTAGAAAAGTAAAAATTAACTTTGTAAACTAAAGTACGTCATCACCTTGATAAAACACACACATACAATGCTTTCTATTTACTGCTGACTCCAGTTGAGTGAGAGAACGAAAATATTATACTCCAATCAATCATATATAAAAATGAAATGGGAACTTTCAATTTCATATTCTATAAGTCCACAGAAAGATTTGGCAGAAACTGCACTTCCTTGCAAGCCCAAAGACCAAAAAGTGACAAGGAAAGAGACATTAAGTAAGAAGCATTTGCTGTCTTTGCTTATTACCAATGATAATGGATCAAATATATGGTCACATCCCTTTGTAAGCAAAGTCACACAGTGCCGTCGTACAAAAGTTAGGAGTACAAAAATGAATTCCATTTTACAATTCAGGGCCATTTCTCCCCCTCCACATACACTTAGACCTGAACAAAGAAAGATTTTTTAACACGCAATAGAACATCATACATAGCTCGTAGCCTCGGTTAAATCATCTTGATCCAGCGCTCTTTCCCCCCAGCTGCCCACGTGTTCATCACAGCCAGTAGCACCCAAAGCCTCCAGGCTCCTCTCGGGAACCACAGTGGGGAGGCTGCTGTTGATGACGGCGGGCAAAGATTGCCGCTTCTTGCTGCGTCCAGCCGAAGTGGCCGACCGGCTGACGAAGGACAGGTCGTTGCTCAGTCCCGACCTGCTGCTCGGGTGGTTTGTGGGTGCTCCCACACTTCTGTTCCCATTGTCTGTGGTGACCCCACTGTCGAATTTCGACCCTGCCGCTTTCGACGAGCCTTGCTGCTGGCTCTCGTGGGGTAGAGAAAACCTCTTGGCGGAGAAGTCGAGATCTCGGTCGTAAAAATCGGCCACGCCCGACTGGTCGTCGAAGTTAAGGTCGTGCCCGAATCCGGACCGGGCCCCGCGAGAAGAAGCCATCCCCATGTCCCCAGTGTTCACACTGGGCTTGGGTAGACTGGCCTCTAGGCGCGTCTTCTCGCTCGAGCGCTCCATGGCCGTGGCCAATGACTTGGGCCTGGTTTTGTGCCTGGATGGGCTGGAACCCTGGCCTGGTCTATCTACGACCAAGCCTTGCTTTTTGTGCACCTGTTTCCTCCTAGAAGGAGCAGCTGAAGGCTCCTGCTTGCCCGGAAAGTGGCCCGCGGGTGTCGAGGAATTGACGCCAGCCCCAGCCACATCCCGACTTGTGCCAGACTTACCGCCACCAGAGTTTTGAGGCTGGTTCAGGTTGTTCCAGGGAACAGAAGCCGGGGGAGGGAGGTCCGCCCTCTCCACCCCCGCAGTGCCCGGGTGCTCCCAGGGGTCAACGTACCCCAGGTAGGCCAGATGCTGGATGTGGTGGGTGGGCGGGGCCGGGGGGTTGCCGAAGCTGACCCCCGCCCCTCCGCGATACACGTCGGCGTTACCATAAGCGGCTTGAGCGTCTGAGGCACGGGCGGACCGGCTGCCAGGTACTGAAGGTTCCACATGCTTGCCCGATTGGCGTAGATTGGGCGCCACGGCATTTCGGTACTTCTTTTCATTTGATTTATACGTTTTCCCTTTGCCACCATCTTTTTCTTGAGCAACATCATCACTATATTTAACACCAAGCTTTTCCTTATTTCTCTCATAAAAAGCCCCCCTAGAGTACTTCGGACTAGATGTGTGTTTTGATTTGTTAGCTATCAAGAAAATAGGACTGGAATTACCTCTGTCTTTGGTTCTTTTTTTCCGAAGTTTTTTCGAGTTCTCTTCTTTCTCTGGTCGCGACGACTGGTGGTGCCTGTAGTCCTCCGCGGACGGCAGTTGGGGTGGCGGCGGCGGTTGCGCGGGGGTCGACATGTGGTTCCCGGTAAAAGCATGGACTCTGCTCGGCATTTGCGGAGGCACGAAGGCAGCAGCCGCAGCAGGCAGAGAGACCTTGGCCGGCTGGGGCTCGGAGCTTACAATCTCCAGCATCGGAGACAGGCCTTTGCTGAAGTCTGGTTTCTCAGAGGTACCTGAGTCTAAGTTACAACTATTTGCTACAGATTTGTCCCCATCAGCTTTTGGTGGGGGTAAGGAGACTAGCAAACCACGAGATGGACAAGATGAAGAGTCTGCAGAGCTGGTGGGAGGGGCAGGCGGGGGCACAGGTTCACACCCTGCAGAGTCAGTATTATTATTATTACTATTATTATTTACACTGTTGGCAAGCGTAGTGCCGAAGGATGAAGAGGTGGGATGGTAAGTATTATGGCGCTGGGACGTAGAAGCAGCATAAGCGCTACGACTTAATGAATCACCGGGAGGTTGTTGCACGCGATGTTCCGACCGTAAAGATTGAGCACGGGATAATGGCAGACTGTGGCACTCCGGGTATTGCGAGTCTGAAGCGATAGCTTTGGGCTCTGTCTCGGAAGACAGGTCATTGTTGGCCCTTAGTCTTTTCTCCCCAGTCTCCGAGCACACAGAAAAGACGGAGCCTTGAGACATACCCGACTGAGAACGTCTCATGACGCTGCCCCCAACACTGCCGTAATGGCTGGTGACTGGCGGTGACGGGCTGGGAGAGGAAGAACTGTACGTACTGTGGGCACCGGCCAGTGTCGAGGTATCCAGCTGACCGATGCTCGTATTGGTGGATAACGGATGGTGACTAGTCGGGCAAGAGTCAAACTCGAGTGATTCGGCAGCAATGCCAGGGTGGGCAGAGACAGACGCTGTGGTTGGTGAGGTGTGCGAGGATGGATCAGCCTGATGGCGTGCGTGGAGGTCATGGACGGCAGATGAAGACTCTGAAGCATGAGGTAACGGATGTCTAATGGAGCTAATGGTCGACTCTAACACTTGAGACGGAGGTCTGTTCTCAGAGATATGAGATGACGACGGTCTGCTGGAGGTGGGGCCGCCCCTTGCTGATGTGTGGTGTGGGTCTCTGGAGCTTGTGGCTGTAGCAATATGCTCTTGTATGTCGCTGATTGTCGCAGTCGGGTTCGAGCGGATGAAGGAGGCCAGAGAACAATGGGGGCTTAAAGAAGCAGCACCGGAAGTGGAAACGTTCTGAGAAGGGGAAGAACACGAAGACGAAGACGGAAAGAGACCAAAAGTAGACACGGGCAATGTTGACCGTGGCCCCCACGTACTGACATCACCAGCCGGTTCACCGTCAGTCGCTCCAACACTTCGCTGATGTTGCGGCTGAGCTGACCCGTAAACGACCGAGGATCCAGTAGGGGTGGAACTGACTGCAGGATGCTGATCCCTGCTCCCACTGAATGTACGACTGTCCGGTGCTGAGCCGGGTGCTTCAGGTGGTGCTGACTGCGACATGATGGGTGGGATTCTGTTCGAAGCACAGGTCACGGTAGAATGTCCACCGGAGTGACCACTCGGCTCGGGCCCATCGACGGCTGTCTCAGGCTGCTGCAAGGGTGGCAGATGTCGCCGCAGGTCCTCGTGGAACTGCTGTCTCTGACTGTACGCAGCACCCGGGACACTACTTCCTGCGTACTGAGCGGGAACTCTGGGTACATCCTGGTGGTGTGGGGCCTGTGGCGTTATGACGCTGGAGGAGTAATGCTGCTGTGTGGCCTGCGGGGGTTGATGCTGGTGGTGGTCGGCGGCGCTGGACGAGCTTGTGGAGCTAGTGCTGGGCGAGCCGGGGCCCAGCGTGTACGCCGCCTGGCCGCTGTCGTAGCTCATGCACATGCGGTCGGGGAAACCGCCGCTGGGGTGGGTCCGAACAGGGGCTCGCCGCCTCCCGCTGTAAGAACGACCTGAGCTGCTGAGGGAAAACTCCTCGCCCGGCGGCATCTCGTTCCTCGGCACGGTGGCGTAGTGAGGAGGAGCGGCACAGTCCGATGTTGGCCGGCCGTCCCTACGCCGGGATTTTGACTTGTTGCTGTCTCGTCGGAACAGATTTGAGAAACGTTGAAATGCTGTGGTGGTAGGCTGAGTTTGGACCCTGCTTGTGTTACCGCTGTGGTCCATCCTGCTGGAAGGACCCAGCGACCGAGGCCGCTCTTGGTGAGACGAACCAGTCCGGCTCTGGTGGGGATGGTTCGTTTGTACGCCTCCTTCTCGCGGCTCGTTCTCCTGTTGTTGCCTCCATGGAGGCCAATCCTGGCTGCGGGCCGAGTAGCTCACCGTGTCGTCCTGCGGCGATATCACCACGCCCAAACCGCCAACCACATCGGTGCTGGCGTACGCCGTCAGGGCGACGGGGGCCCGGGCACTGTCACTGTGTGAGCGTCGGTGTCGCTGGTCCGTCGACACGGTCCCTAGAGGAATCTGCCGCGTGATTTCCGTCCCCTGAGGACTATGACCGACCGCTCTCTGTTGTTGCAGCACGCCAGCCATCCGGTGAGAGCCCGAGGGCGAGAGAACGCTCCCGTTGGACATGTGACCGATACTATTCACAGCGTCCACATGGCCATTGCTGCTGCCACCAACACCACCACCACCACCGTTCCTACTCTGCGCCGCAACGTTGCCGTTAGCGTCGCCATTTTGGTTGATCTCTTCATAAGGCGGGGGCTGCTCCCCTGGCAAGATCTGCGGAGGTTTGGGCGGAGAGTAGGGAGGGGGTGGGTCGGTGTACGGTGGACACTCAAAAGACATGAATGCATCCGGGATGTACTGTTCACTGTCCGTGTCTTCGTTGTTGGGCTGTCGAGAACGAGCTTCGAATCCTGGGGAGAAAATAGAGAAGGTAACTTGTGAAAAGTAATTGAATCATACACCTGTTGGGGCACGAGGGAGGGAGGGG